TGGTGAGGTGATTTCTAAAGAGGTGGCCAGGGCTGAGAGTCATCCAACATCCCCTCGCCCTGACACTGGCGCTCCACGCCAGCTTTAACCAGGACCTGCCTCTCTGACTTGGTGCGTTTCTGGGATTCCCTCTTCTCCCCCCAAACCAGGTACTTCAGAGGCTCATCAAGTCTCGAGGGAAGTCTCAGTCCAAACACCTCAATGTGCAAATAGCGGCCTCGGAGAAGCTGGCGCAGTGTCCGCCTGTGAGTGCTCAGACCCCGGGGCGGGGGGGCGGCATTTGGATTCTGGTTTCCTCTGGCCTACGTGGGAGACAGAGTGGCCAGGAACACCTGGGCTGGGTCCAGCGGTGCTGATGGACTTCTGGGAAGGAGTGCTGGGCAGGCAGTCACAGACTGGCTTCAAGCCCCAGAAGTACCACTTCTCTTTGGGGAGTCGAAGCCTTAAATCTAGAATGAGGGAGTTGGACTATGTGGGTGCCAAGAGCCTTTGTGGTTCTGCCAGTGCCCATCTGAGAGCCCCCCTTCTCTTTCTGGACATCCGGAAGTCTCTTTTTAACTTTGCCCTTCAACCCCTTGACTCTCCGCCCACTGTGCCCAGGCCATGCCCACAACCCCTAGCTCCTGCCTGGCTCATCCTAGCCCTCCCCCTAACCCCGCCTCCACAGGAAATGTTTGACATCATCCTGGATGAGAACCAATTGGAGGATGCCTGTGAGCACTTGGCGGAATACTTGGAAGCCTATTGGAAGGCCACACACCCGCCCAGCAGCACTCCACCTAACCCACTGCTGAACCGCACCATGGCTACTGCAGCCCTGGCTGCCAGCCCTGCCCCTGTCTCCAACCTCCAGGTACAGGTGCTCACCTCACTCAGGAGAAATCTCAGCTTCTGGGGTGGGCTGGAGGCCTCACAGCAGGCCGGGGCGGTGCCCCAGCTGCAGGAGCACGCCATGTAGGTACCCCCTCCTCCCACATCTCCCCTCCTGCCCATGGCCGGGAATTGGAGAACAGGGATCATGGGGAAGGAAGGAAAGAGCTCTATTTTGTAAAAAAATGTGGTGAGCAGCAGCTTCTGGTGTTTGTGGTTTGTTTATGGGATTGGGGCGGGCTGATGGTACTCCTTGGGCCTGGTGCCATAGGACTACATCCGCTGCCTTGGGGGCTTTTGGGTGTGAGGCCTGATTGGGGGCCCTTGTAAGGCAAGTGACTTGGAAGAAAACATGGAGCAGATTGGTAGAGTCATTCGCTGGACTCCATGCCCATTTTAGACTCAGGAGTGGTCACAGCATTGTAGACCCAACAGAGCAGGGAATCCCACAACGCAGGGGCCTTTAAGCCCAAAGTGACTGTCCCCTTCCCTAGAGCCCTAACCACAGGAGGCCCCTCAGAAGGGACCCGGAAAGTAGCATCTTCTGTGATTGATGCTGAACCTTCCATTCTTCTCCCAGTTAAACAGATTCCAGGAAAGGCCCTCTGTGGGCACCCTGCCCTGCCTCTCCCTCCTCCTGTGGGAGCCATGGCCCATCCCTGAGATCACATCATGACGTATTTGATTCTCCATTAGAGCCAGAAAAAAAACACTCTAATCTAGACCATTGCTTTTCAAATTCGTTCGCTGGGTCTTATGTGGAAGCTCAGTAGAAGCCATCCTTGCTCTGCTCAGAGGGAGCTAGTGGCTTGGCCTCCAACTTCACCTCCACGGGGACCCCTGAAGCACTTCTGTGCCCTCCCACTCCACCCCAGATCTCAGGGGAACAGTTTGGAAACTGCTGCTCTCACCTCCATCGCACCACCACAGAGAAACTGGGCCACAGGAAGGGGAGTCAGTTGCTTAGCATCACCCAACTTAAAGGGGCAGGACTAGGACCCAGGCCTCTGTGCACCCTCCCAGCGGCCTCTGTGATGGAAGTGGCCATCGGGCCGTGTGGCATTTGATGCTGAGGACATGGGGCCACCTCACCATCTCCTGTGGGGTGGAGACCCATCAGCTTTTCCTATCCTGCTGCTTTGAAAGTCTCTGCTGGGGGCAGAGGAGGAATTCCATCATTCAACCTGGGTCAGGGAGTGTGGGGTTCTAGAACCCTCTGATGAGGGTCTGGTTTGGGCGGAAGGAGCTGGGGTTAGGGAGCTTGAGCTGAAATCCCCTGAGTGTATTTGGAAAACTGGAGCAATGACTAACCCAATCGACCACTCACGAGTGGCCATACTAATGAGCTGTTAATGATGATTTACCCCAAAACAGCATTAGTGACGTGTGTTGAGGAAGCGATGACTAATCGTTCATGGGGTCTGTGTCATGGGAGCCGGGAGAGTTCAGGCCTCCTCAGCCAGGGGAAGGTGGGCGCCCCCTTCCGTCCTAACAAAGGAGCACATGCCCTGAGGTCCGGGCTCTAGAGTCCTTGGCCGGGCCCCATCCCCTAGAGCCAGCCCCCTCCTCCCTCAGCTGGGCTGGTGCCTCGGTGCCAACACTAACCTGCATTGCCTTGTTGTGTTTCTCTCACCCCTCCCTGCCCGATCTGCATGGTGTGTGCCGTCTGTCTGCTAACCAGGGACCCTACCTTGCTTCTGGGGACCAGTCGCTGGACCGGGCCACCGGGGAGCATGCCAGCGTGCACGAGTACCCGGGGGAGCTGGGCCAGCCCCCAGGCCTTTACCCCAGCAGCCACCCACCGGGCCGGGTGGGCACCGTGCGGGCACTGTCCCGCCAAGACACGTTTGATGCCGACGCCTCTGGCAACCGAAATTCTACCTACACCGAGCCGGGGGACTCGTGCGTGGACATGGAGACTGACCCCTCCGAGGGGCCAGGGCTCGGAGACCCCGCAGGGGGCGGTACCCCACCCGCCCGGCAGGGATCCTGGGAGGATGAAGAAAACGACTATGAAGAGGAGCTGACTGACAACCGGAATCGTGGCCGCAATAAGGCCCGCTACTGCGCGGAGGGCGGGGGCCCGGTGCTGGGGCGCAACAAGAACGAGCTGGAGGGCTGGGGGCGGGGCGTGTACATCCGCTGAGAGGCCGGGGCCACACTGGGAGGAAGGACTCTGAGCCCAGGGGAGGGGAGGTGCAGCTCGCTCACCGCCGGGGTGTATCTTACCTCCAGGGGGCGCTTCTCTTTCAGATGCCTTTGCTCAGTGTTGGTTTTTTTTTAGGTGGTAGCATCCCAGCTCCTGGGAGTCCCTTCCGCTCCAGCTGTAGGTCTTTATCTCCCTGCGGTGGGTGGAGGGGGGATGCCCACGTGTCTGCAGTGTCTCCTTTTCCCCTCCTCAGGGGGTCTCCCCTCCCCTCTCTCTCCCAGAGAAAAGGTGCACTTCCTTAGCTCCTTCTACTTGGGACTCTCCATGGGTGGCCCTTTCCCCACCTGGAGTAGTTGGGAAGGGTAGGGGGTTTTTCCTGGAGAGAGAGGCCACAGGCTTTTCCACGAGGGTTCTCTTCCCAAACTCCAGGCCCAGGGTCCCTCCTCATGCCCAAACCTCCCCACCCCTCTCCCCCCAGCTTTCTGGCAGCATCGTCTGGTAGGAGGAAGCCCCTTGGGGAGGTGTCTGGGTAGAAACTGATGGGCATCAGATGTAGTGCCATCTGCCCACCCAGGACCTAACCCTGAGGAGTGGGCAATCGGAGACGCTCCCCCACCCCCACCCCCACCTCCATGTCTCAGCCTTTACCTGCCCCAGGAATGAGCTTTGCCTACAATATCCCTTGCCTGCTGCCATCAGAAGAGGGGCCCTCCACGTCCCTGTGTCACCTGGGTGTGGAGCCCATGGAACACTGGCCCGCCTCATTTTGAAACCAAAAACTGCTCCTTCATTCCCACCCCAAAACCCCAGGAGAGAGGCCCTTGGGGTTGGTGCCCAAGAAATGATCCCTGCCCCAGGGGTTGCCTCGGGACCACGGATCTCCCCTGGGGGGCTTGGCTGCTGCTGCTGCTGCTGCTCTGTATTTGCCTCTTGTTCTTTACCCACGTCCACTCCACTCCCCGCAGGAGAGGCCTTCCTATCCCCCTCTGACCTGAGTGTCCCTCGGCCTAGCATCCCCTTAGCCCAGCAGCCCTGCCCTCCCCAGCATCCCAGCTGGGCCAGAGAGAGCCGATTGTGCCAACGAGGACTGGGCCCTGCCCGGCTGCCCACCTCAGGGATGGGCACCTCATGCCTGTCTCGCCACCTCCTGTGCCAATGTTGCCCCACCCCTCACCTGGGGGTGGGGTGCAGCTTCCACTTACTGGTTAGAAGAGACCACTGCCCAACCTTTCCCCCTCCTGTCTGGTATCATGTGCCTCCATCTGTCCGTCTGTTCGTCTTTACTCCCCTGGGAGTATTTTGCCACATATAAAACCACCATCCTGTCCTTTGCGGCAGCCTCCCAAGCCTGCTTTGTTCCCACAGGGGGGTGGGAGGGGGCGTGCAGGAGGAAGCTGTGCCTGGAGTTGTTTACGCCACAGGAGATGAGGGTGATTTGTGACTCTCTGATGCATTACATTCAGACCTGACTGAGCAGCGTAGCCAGGCTCAGTCCCCACTCAACGCCAAACTCCGCAGCGAACCCCTCTCCCCTTAAGCAGAGCCAGGGAAAATGGGCAGCTGAGGTGAAGAAATGGGGTGTCCTACAGTGGGTGAGATCCAGACCCACTGGCACAATGGTAAAGGCTTGTGCTTGTTCTGCTCCTCTGGCCTCAACTGCTCCCCAGCACCTCAGGAGAGGGAGGGACTGAGTCTGGCTTTCTCCCCCAAAGCCCCCACAACTACCCCTACCCAGCCCCTGCTAACCAGCCTTGGGGGAGGGGCAGAGAGAATGGGGATTTCCCCAGTCCCAGCTTCAGAGAAAGATAGTCAGCAGGTGGCTGCCAGTTCCTGCCCTCAGCAGCTGGCAGGATGCGGGCTTCTGAAGGTTGTTACTGCTGTTGTCTCTCGGAGCACCTGGTTCTTGATTCTGGGGTGGTGCTGGACCTGAAGGATGAGCTCCTGGGTCTTTAACCTGAGTGCTCCTCTATTCTGTGTGCAGTTGTGTGTGTGTGTAGAGAGGGCAACAGACACCCAGACCTCCCTAGAAGAGGGGTTAGCAGACCCCAGGAGAGAGGAACTGGGCAGGCCCGCAGGTCAAGTGGCAGGCGCACCCACGGCCCTCAAGCGCTGCTGGGATTGGAGTCCGGTCTCTGCCTCCCAGTGTAGGGCTCTTTGCACTGCCTTTCAGTGCAATCCATTCCCATGTTTAACCACTGAACAAACGTTTTGCTGAGCACCTACTATGTACCAGGCACAAGTCTAAATGGGAGCCACAGGCAATTTGGGACAGAACAGTGAGCTGTCTGATGGGGGGGAGCACTGGGTTCTGGGGGAACCTGGGACAGGGGTCAGGGCTTGAGTCCCCTAAATCTGGGGAGGCCAGGATTAATTCCTGAAGGAAGTAAGGCTTGAGCAGAGGCTGGAAGCAGAGGAGTGGGGGAGTGTTGAAGGCAGAGGAGACAGGTGACATACAGGACGTGTTCTTGGACTTCACCTTGCTCTCAAGGTGTGGTCAGAGAAGGGTCAGCAGGAGCAGATCCCTGTGGATCTTGAGTCACGTTAAGGAGTTTGGGCTTTGTCCTAAAGCTGGTGTGCAGAAATCGAAGGACTGCACGCAGCAATAGCAAGATTGCCTTGGTTGCAGTTTGGAGCAGACGGGAAGGTCTAGCCTGGAAACCTGCAGTACTCCATGTGAGGAATGAGAAGGGCCTGCACTAGACCTCAGCAGTGGAGTGGGAAAGGAGGCTGTGGCTGTCAGGGACGTCGAACAGAATGGAGAGCTGTTGAGGAGCAACTGGAGATGGTCACTGAGAGAGAGGGGGGCGTCTGGGGTGACTGTGGGTTATAGAGAGAAAGCAAGTTAGAGGCAGAAACGATACCTAGCTTTGGACAAGGTGGGTTTATGGTGCTGTAGGAGGACAGCCCAGAGGAGAAGAGCAGAAGACAGCCGAGTGCTCGGCAGAGAGCTCCATCCTGCGTGGAGCCTGATATTTTTGTACCGAGGGCGGGATTATTAACTACCATTTACAGATAAAGCTCAGAGAGATCCAGCAGCTTGTCCATAGTTACACGGCACTGGAGCAAGAACTTGGACTCAGATGTGTGGATTTCAAGTTCTGTGGTGTCCATGACCCCCAAGTCTAGGGCTAATTCCCCTGCCCCAGGATGGCCCAGCTTCTGGGAGCGGAGCCGGGGAGGGAGGGGGAAACAGGTATCTGAATATGTGTCTCTTCCCCATGTGCCTTCTGCCTGAAATTGCATTTGCCCAGAACATACAGGCAGGGGCATCTCTAGGTGGCTTGGAGATATTGGGAGGCGAGAGAGAGAGAGAGACGTCTCTTGGTAACCACAAGCCCTCAACCGACACAGTCAGCACGGGACGTCAACAACCATGAAGCTGGCTGTGATGAGGCCCAGAGAGGCTGGTTCTGCTACCACAGCCACCTCAGGGGTTCAGGAACTGAGGCGCTGGGGATCTCCCCCGCCCCCCACATACACACACCTGACTGGCTGCTTCTGTCTTTGCAATATGTTCTGCACCAGAGCGAGCCTCAGTCCTAGGTGTGGCTGAAGGTTTCCACCAATCAAAAATGAAATGAGCTGAGCAGGGCCACGATGGCCCAGAAGTGAGGGGGTGTTCCAGTCCAACACTCTAGAGCGAAAGCTTGACTTAGCTCCCGTGATCACATCCTCAGAGAAGAGTGCCTTGGCTCCCTTCTAAATCGGGCCTTCCCATCTACTGCCTCCCAGGGTGGGTTGGTTGTTTGTTTTTGTGGGTTTGTTTTGGGTATGTGTATTTGTCTCCCCACTAGACAGTAAGCTTCCTAAGACCCAGACTGGGTCTGTTTTGTCTACTTGGCATGTTTCCTACCTCCTGACTCATATTCGTCAAATGAATGAAAAGTGAAGGAAATGCCCCTAAGATCCAGCTCTGGGCCTCAAGGAAGGCTGGGCTCTGGTCTGTTTACTGAATGTGCTCCAGCTGGCCGAATGTCACTTTCAATTCTGCAAGTGGTGGTGGTGGCGGAGGAGGCAGGGTACACTAACAGGTCCCCCCCACCCCCAGGAAACAGATGGTGAGAATGCTTAACACATTGCTGCTTCCCTCAGCACCTCCTGTGCCCTCACCCTCCTGCACCCAGCCGCAGCCCCAGCTCCTTTTTTCCCAGGGCCGAAATGAAATCAGCCAGATGGGCTCTGCTAGCCAATTCTTCTTCCTTCTCACTCTGCTAGGAATCTGGGGGGTGGGGGTGGGGGTGAATGAAAATTCTGTATTAAGTGAATTCTTTTCTCTCTTCTCTTCACAAACTTCCCTGTCTTCCTCCATTCTCTTCAACTTGTACTCACACTTTCTTTTTTTTAATACTCCAAAACCATTTCTCAGGTTGTAGCTTAACTCACTGTACTTCAATCCAATAGCAACACATTCCTACTGTGGGCCGGGCACTGGACCAGGTGGGGGGCACACAGGTGAACAGTGAACAAGACACGAACCCCGCCCTCGAGGAATCACAGATGAGTGGAAGAAACAGGCGTGCCAGTCCAAGTCACAGTCTCAGTGTGGAGAGAAGCTGGAGAACCAGGCCGGAGCTTGGCGAGTAGGTGGCTTTTATGGCAGGCAGCCAGTGGGATGGGCCCATATGGCTGGAGAACCAGGCCGGAGCTTGGCAAGTAGGTGGCTTTTATGGCAGGCAGCCAGTGGGATGGGGCTCAGGAGCCCTCCTTTCTGAAAAAGGGAAAGGCGTTCAGGTGGAGGAAATGCGGAGGTAAAAGCACAGTTGGAAAAAGCTGTGCATGTGTGAGCAAGGACCGTTGGGGGCAAACATGGGAGATACGCTGCAAAGGCAGATGGGGGCTATTCATGGAGGTTCCTGAATTTCAGGTGAAGAGGCTGATCTGAATCCAGTGGGCAGTAGGGAACCATTGAAGGTTTATGAGCTGTGGAGTAACAGCCTGGGAAGGTTAACAGGACTGAGGGCTGTGAGGAGATGCCTGGTTAGGGGAGACAGAGGCAGGGAGACCCGTTAGAGCAGAGGGGTGGGAGGAGCCAAGTCCCCTGGGTGATGGCTGGTGTCTCCTAACTGCCCTGCCGCCTGCGGTTGGTTTGCCTTCCCCACTTCTCTTTTTGTTTTCTGGTTTTCCCCAGTTTAAGCAAAGAAGGAAATTCACAAACATCAACGAGCAGCTCCCCCTTCCTGTTCCTCCTCTGCCATGTCTTAGTATCTGGAATCCCTCTGTAGGGTTTGTGGCTGAGAGATGTCTTTTTTGCTCCATCCCTGTCTTCGGATGCCTACCCTCTGGGTTCAGGGGGAATGTTCCTGAGCAGTCGGTTGTCAGTAAATCATAGAAGTTGCCTGTCACCAAGGGACCTGCCAAAGGAGGGAGACCCTAGGGAACTACAAGACCCACACAAGTGAACAGCTAGAGATCTGTTGAGGGTCAAAATACTCTCCCAGCTCAGAGAGAGGGGATCAGTGAGCCCTGTCTACCCCACACAGCTAGTAGGTGGAGAAGGTGGGTGGCCAAGGGTTTTGCTTTAGCCTCATGCTCCAGACATGGCGCTTGGAGAAGGAAGAGCTGGGACATGGTCATGGAACACGGTCTGAGTCTCCTGGATTGGCAGTGGGGGAGCAGTCCACCCAGAGAACTCTGGGATTTTCTCAGGGGGAGGGGGAGGATGTGGAGTCTGGACCCCACTTTCCTCGCACCTCCAGGGCTCTGGACAGTAGTTTGTTGTCAACCTGACGTCCATAGCACCCCCGAGGGCTCAGCGTTTCAGGGAATTCCCAGGCCCTGCAGGAGACTCAGGAGGCTCCGGTGACCTCATAGACCCCGTCTGGCCCTCCCCCGGGGGCGGGGCTCCAAGCGCCCGGGCTCAACCCCGGCCCCCGAGGGCCACTGAGTCCTGCACCTGCTTGGCCCCGGACGCGCCATGGGACAACTGATGGCCAAATTGATGGGCATCTTCGGGAAACAGGGTAAGGGGCGCCCAGGGCATCCAAGCGATCGCTTTGATCCGGCTCCCACCGGGTCTCCCGGGATTGGGATGCGCTGGGTAACCTAGGACCGGGAGGGTCCTGCACGGGCGCTCCGAGCCCGATGCGCAGGCTCCCCTGCCCCTTCCCTGCCGGCTCCTCGCGGGTCGCGGGTTTCGGTGCGCCTCGGGGCACAGGCTGGGCGAGCTACATCCTCGGGGTAAAAGCCGCCGCCGCCGGCTTCTTGCGATCGTGACTTCGCGCTCGGTTCTTTCCCCGACCCCTCCGGGTCTTGACAAGCCCTGAGCTCCCCGGGCCCTTCAGACAATCCCTTTTCTGGAATTGTGGAGCGAGGGAGGTGGGGCTGGTGTCCGGGGCCGTGGGAAAGAAACCTGTCCTGTTGGTCCCCCTCCTCTTTTGGGGGGTGGGTGGGAGA